TCAACAGCCCTAATTAGTAGCACCCCCAATCTGTAACCAAGTTGGGGTATTAAGGAAAGTACATTCCTGAGCATATTCCTTTCTCTTATGCATAGAATTCTGTCCTTGAAAAGGCAACTTTTTAAAGGTACGCCGTGTTGTCTTGCAGCTGAAGGAGGCAATAGAGAAACATTCCTCAAAGGGAACCTTACTTATACACACGTTACAGTAAGGTCGGCCTTAAGGTATAGACTGTTAGCCATATTTAACTACTTCACTTATGAGGTTTGTCAGAAAGGGGAGTAGGGGTCTTTTTTAAGTGGTCTAGGTGTCAGCAAGAGACACAAATTAAAACCCTAGCGGCAGGGGTGGGGGCAGGGGCAGGGGCAGGAAGAGTAGCTACTTCTCTCATTGTATCTAGTTCTTACACCCTTCTGTAAAACTCACAATTTGTACACAACTGAATTTTATCCAAAAATACATGCCTGGGTCTGCTATCAGCAAGGCAGGCTCAGCGACCTGGCTTCTAGTCACCTTGCTTTTGGGCAAGTCACTCCCTTCACTTTTGAAGAGGACAATTACATTCCAAGGCATCCTTTCTGCACAGCCAACATTCACTAACCAAATGATTTTTGAGTGCCTACAGGCTAGGAGTGATTCTGGGAGCTAAAATACTGCAGGAAAGACAACAACACATCTCCCTTCATGGAGGCTGGGGAAGTCACACAATAAGCAAGGAAACAAAGCCAGGACACAACTGATATGAGAGAGATGCTTAGGTATATAAACATTGTTCAAGAGAAAGAGCCTGTGGTGTCAGGTCTGGTGGCACAGGGTCTCAGGAGGGCATTATGAGTGCAAAGTTCTAGTGTAAGAGGTAGATGCTCAAGGGAAGATGGTAGGCTAAGGACAGCCTGCAGAGGAACTAGACAGGGACATAAGGACAGAGCAGCAGGCTTTGGAGACCTCTGGTATCTAACATGGTAGCCAGCAAGTGCCAACAAATGTAGAAAAACAAGTGTAGATGTCACTACCAGAACCTAAGACTCTCCTCTTCCTGAGGAACCGCCAACTTCTGCCTTGATGGAGAAGAATACAGAGAGGGAGCCAGTCGTGAGCCCCAAAAGGCAGTCTGCCCCTCTCTGCATGCGGGAGGGAGTGTCTGCTCATCACCCCAAGGAGAGGAGCTACCTTAAAAGAGAACCTTCTGGAATACCCAATTCTACCACTAAGATGGCAACCTCACTTCCCCTGATCATCTCAGTCACACTGTATTCTACCTTAGTGCAAAAGAAAAAGGCCCATGGATTTTCCTTCTGGCCCTGATCACAGATCTTAAGCGGGACTCCCCTGGGTTTCACATGAGCCCTGAGATCTTTGTATACTTCACAGACTGATCCTTCACTCACCCCCACACTGCACATGAATCGACTGTCTGTAATGAACCAAGGTCTGATGTCCCACCTCCTCTCCACCAACTTCTGCTGGCGTGCAGATGAGGACACTGCTCCTTCTCTCTCCTGCTCCTGTCCTAATTTGGGAATAAGTCCTTACCCACCCTCCCGGGGAGGGTCCATACCTAGAGGAAAGTGAACACTCCCCACCCACACCCAGCAGGATTCCTTGACCATGAGCAACCCTGTTCTCATCTGTTGCTCACTGCCCTTGGGGAGACAAGGGGTTTGTTTGCCCTCCACTGGAGCTCTCTGTGCTGCGCCATCAGCCTGAAATATGTTCGAGGTCTCCTCAAACATGATTCATGACCAGGTTGGCCCAGAGCTAGCTGCAGAAATCAGGGCCAGATGTCTATTAGTGCTTCCAAGACCCCAGCGCTCAAGAAGGGTGGTATGGTCACCAATCCCTGCTGCTCAGAAATTATGGGGCTACCTCCAAGTCCCAATACCCAGCAAAACCTCGGTACTCCTGCTATCTCACCCCACCCCAGGGGAAGAATGTTATCTCCAATAAGCAAAGATTATTGGCCTCTAAAGGAAGAAATGGACAGAAATAGAAGAGAAGGAGGGACAAAGGTCAGTTCCTTAGCAGGTGCAATTGCTGAAATGCCAGTGATGAATCAGTTATTGGGGACTTAAGATGGGGCTTGAAATGGTGAAAAACAAATCAATAAGTAAAAGAATGAGGGAGGATGGATGAGCACTAATGTGTCAGCGTTTACTATAACAGCAGAGGCTGGTCTAAGCACGTCACAGACCCACTGACATTATCCCGTACAGGGCTATGAGCCAGGTGGTCCTACCCAACTCCAACCTGAGAAACCTGAGGCTTCAAGGAGTTCGTAAGTTTCCAGAGAAAGCATGGCTACAGAAAAGAAGGAACCATGAGCTCCCACCTACGTCAGCCTCCCAAAGCCTCCCGCCTTAACCAGGGCACCAAGAAAAATGTCTCATGTTCTGGTTGGGACATGAATGCTGGTCCTAAACCAGAGCTTAACAGCTGAACATTCAGAAACAAAGGGGGCCTAAGCGCGAGCAGGGGCAGCCACACTCTGGGGTGCAGCTGGGAGAACAGAGGTTCGGGGAAAGCCAACGGCCGTTGGGCCCTAGAGCCAGGCCTTATGTGAAACCTACAAGCCCTAACAGCCCAGAGACTTGGCAGCTGATGAAGCAGCCCAGCTCACTACTCACTCCCCTCCTCGCCCTTTCCTCCGCCTGTGGCCTTGACTGGGGGTCACACTCCCTCTCCGTGCCTCCTGGGAAAGCTGCTATTCCTCCCCATTCCTGATTCGCAAACTCCACCCTTTCTCTTGGATGACTGAAAACATCACTGCTCCACTGCACTTGGGAATAGAACCCATTTCCTCCGATGGTCACACAGAAGCCTATTACACGGCAGATGAAGGCTCGGCTGGTCTGGTTTAGCTAGGGGGTTCATAAAGATGCCCCAGAAGCATTCAGTCCTGGGGCTCAAAGAGCTGGGCATGGGAAAGGGGAGAACAGTGGAAGGATCCTAGGTGTGGCTGTGACTTTGGGCCAATCTTCAGCTCCTGAGCAGGCAGGCCTCACGCTCCCTTTCCACATCCTGAGGAGCTATTGTGGGTGCTCTGAGGTCCCTTCTGCACCAGACGGTCTAAAGAAAGGAATCAGGAGAATCCAGAAAGGAATGGGAGGTGAGAGGGCTGTTTAAGGGCCAGGCAAGGAAATGATTAACCATAACTAGGGCTCTCAGATCCACCCATAACCCCCCACAGACAGGCTGGCATATCCTCACTGGTCACCAGGTCAGCACATGGAGGAGACTGCCCAGGGCAAGCAGCTCACCACTGCCCCTTCCCAGGCCTGCAGCTTCCGATCTCACAGCAGAGGACAGTGAGCACAAGCTCACAGATCTCTGTCTAGGCTCTAGTTGAGGCCACTTTTGTCCCACCCTCAGCACAGGCCTCCCCAGCCTGGAAGGCTTGGCTGGTGGTGACTCACAGCCTTTCCTGCAGCCCGCTGAGGCTTGTTGCTCATCAGAGAGCGGAGCAGGAGCAGTCCTCTGTTCCAGGTGCCTCATCGGGGAGGCTGCTGGCAGTAGCTGCATCTGCCCACGGGGTTCCATGACGACTGGGACTGGGCAGGGAGGCCAGACTAGGTCCTCTGGTGGCAGGACTGGTTCCCCAGGGCTCCACTGCCATTTAACCAGGACATCCCATGGGAACTCAGCCTCGCCCCTGCAGCCACATGATTCTATGTCCAACTGAGCAGTGGACACGATAAGACCAGACCTCATTCCCGTTAAAAGTTCTAGTGCCCCCCAGCCAGTCCCCTACACACACAAGCACACACAGCTTTTAGACAAAAATGAAATAAGTAAATATAAAATCACAAACACCCTCATCAGTCTGGGCACGTCTGGGGCAGTGGGATCTAGTTTGTATTTCTAACCTGATATGCAGTACTAACATCGTCAACCATTTAGATGGCACATACTGGGGGCAAACTCCGCTGCACATAGACATCTCGTTTCTACACAGGCCGTAAACATGCTCACCCACACACAGGCTGCACAACATGTATTTGAGCACACATTCATAGGCACGGATGGGCCCACACCCAGAAACAGACACTCCCGCACCAACCCCATGCACGCTGACCCACAGACAGAGTCCAAGGCCTTGCCGCACTGGCTCCACCCTCGGCACATACCTTCCCTGGGGTGTGTCTGACCTCTAAGGCCGCCTGGGTTCCCTTTCCAGAGCACTGGAGCTCACCCTCCTGGGGCTTACATTTCCCCTCGATACTGTGGACCTCTCTGCTCTGAGGCTGAGGGACAAACATACTGCAAAGCAGTGTCCTAAGGGTCTGAGGAGGAAGTCCTCAAACCAAATGATGTGCTTCTGTGAGAGGCTGGGACTGCAAACACTCTGAAGCCCTCAGGCGGCTCCTGAGGTGGTGGGAAATGTGTGAGAGATGCCTTGATAAGCAAAGCTGTGGTACCCACCGTGCCAGAGGGTTTCGGGACTGCACCTGCAGAAATAGCTCTGAGCCCACAAAAGGTCTGCAGACCTAAAGCCCACTTGAGAGAGGCCAAGGGGCCAGTTCTTACCCTGACTGGAGCCTAAGAAATAGAAAGAACGGAGCTCCAGCAGAAGCCTCTGTTCCCTGAGGACAAAGCATGCATTCCAAGCTAGGGACTCAGAGAGAGGACAGAGAAGAAAAGATGCTCATTTCAACACTTGTGGAGAGGGAGGGGCAACTCCAGGAGGAGGCAGAGAGGGGCTGCCTCCCAGATACACGCCCCCGCGAGACTTCTCTGACCCCAGTAGGCTGTGCAGCAGGCAGAGATAGCAAATCCAGTTTCTGACAAACAGATTGCAGCACAGACAGGGATAGCAACTATCTTGTTCCCAGCAAGATGCCATGCTCAGAATTTGAGCCTCTCTTTGGGATAGGAGAGCTGCTCTCTCTAATCCTATTCACAGACCCCAGTTCTGTTGATTAGCTAAGGTGGGGCTAAAGGTCCTTTCTCAGGCCCACTATAAAACTCTTAACAGAGCCGCAGAGACTGAGGGTTCGCTCAAGAGTAAGTCTTGAACCTTCCCAGCTCCCTGACAGGTTCCTTTGCTCTCAAAGACAGTGCATCTTGGGCTGTCCATGCTGCGGACCATTCTTCCTCTACCCTGCCTTTTAAGACCTAAGGGGACAGGAAGCTGCGGAGCAGGGAGACCACGCACCCCGTCAGCTGAAGGGTCTAGAGTTTGGTCTCAATTCTGTCCCCACCCAAGCGCAACAAGACCAAGATCTCACTTCATCGGGGGATCAGGCCTGTGTCCGAGAGAGGAGATGCGAAGGGGCGCAGCGGCCTCCTAAGCCCCGGCCCACCCGGCCCCGGTGGCCGCACTCACCTGGACAGCGCGGACCAGTCCTTCCTGCTGACCGACATGCTGCCGAGCCGCGCGGCCGCCGCGCGCCGAGCTCCGCACCCCGCCGCTCACCTGCGGCCCCTCCCCCGCGCCAGGTAGGGTCACATGGCCGCTTATCTCAGCCGGGCTCGGCCCCGCGCCGCCGCGCTCTCATTCGCCGGCCCCGGGAGCTGCCTCCGAGGTGTGGGCGTCCCAGACAAAGCCGCGCTGAGGTCCGCCGGGGCGGGTCCCGCGCGGCCGCTCTGCGGGGCGCTCCCACCGGGCTGCGGGCCGCGCCGAAGCCGGGGCTGGCGCGGGGCTGCTCTGCTGCCCGGGGCGAGGGCGGGGGACTTCCTGCTCAGAACCAGTCGGACCAGCTTGGCGCCGGCCCGTGTCTTCCCTCAGAGTCGCGGTCCGCAGTGCCAGGGAGTGGGGCGGGGGGCGGGACCCATAGATCGGGGTCAGGCTGAGCTCGCTGCCTGGAAATCGACTTAGCCCTCGGAAACCCAAGAGCTGGAAGCCGCGCAGAAAAGTTAGAGCAGGGACCGTACTTTGGGGTGTAGAATGCCGGCAGCTGTGAGGGAGTGGGGGAGGGGACCCCAGAACACACCCCAGTAGCCAGAAACCACCTTGACGACTCTGCTTAGGTAAGCAGGCGCTGCCTGAGAAACATGTCCCCTAGAAAGCCAGCCTCTCCTAAAAGATGATGAGACTCAACCCCGCCAGCTAGAGTGCACACCGCTATTGAAAAACCGTATGCGCCAAAGGCAGTTCTTGCTTTCCGATAGCCCACCGTGGGCTAAGGGGTGGAAACAAAGTTTTGCTTCCCCAGGAAGACAGCAGAGCCATACATAACTGAGGCGAATAGTGCAAGGACCTGAGGCAACTCGGGGTGAAGCGCCAGCTGCTTTCCACTCGGGAACCTACCTCCTGACTGAGCAAGCAAGGGCCAGGGTGGGAAATCTATCTTCCCCGAAAGATCAGAAACGGAATCAATGGCTGCTGCAGGCTCTACTCAGAGAAGTACAGGGTGCTCCCCAGAACCCCGGATGAGAAGTCGGAGTCTGGAGTGACTGACTCCAGAAATCCACAGGCCCCTGCCTCCTGCAGGCTGGGGATGCTGGAAGTAAAGACAGGAGCCACCACGCCGCACTAGGGGCTTTTTAATCAACGGTAATATTGAAACGAAGTGGGGTTTAATCAAAGGTAATATTGAACAGGAGGCAGGGGTAGCAAACGCTTTGGGAAACTGAACCGTGTGGGGCCAGAAGGCCTCTGGTGACGCCTCTCTGTCTGATGTGAGAGGGGTTGGGTCAAGTCAGGGGATTCAGGACAGGGGTTCCAGGGTGGGAGGAAGCTGACTATCTACCACTGAGGGTTTCTCGACAAATCGACCTGATAAGTAATTCTTGGTTTGGGAAGCTGTCTCCACATTGTAAGGGGGTCAGCTGCATCCAACACCCATTTGAATTAAAGGTCTTTAAAAGGAGCGTCCAGGAGGCCATTGGATGTTTGTGTGGAAGCTCAGGAGACAACCTGGGATTGTGTGCCCATAGCCCAAGGGCAGGGTTGAGTAGGAAAATGGAAGGAGTGATTTTTCAGCCACATGAGTTGATATTTGCACCCATGTCTTGGCTTCCCAAAAAGAGTCTTGCCTCCGTGTGCTCTCAACATTTTTCTGGGCACACTGGGTGCTCAATAGCAAGTTTGAAGAAATACATTAATTTTATTTGGGAAGAAAGTCCATACCATTGAAGGTGACGCTGGGAGTCAGGGTCATGGGGTAGCTGAGATCAAATGGATTTTGGGCAACCAGGACCCCTGGCCTTAGGCAAACAACAGGGTAAAAGCACCTCTGCAGTCCTCAGGATCACAGTGGAGTAGTGGAAGCTGGCAGAGGTGACTCTGTGTGCTCTCCAGCAACTGCACTCCTGAAGAGAAAAACTCTTAGACATAAACCTCAGAAGAGAGGCCCACGAATGTCCAAAGAAGCACTGCCAGGAAGCAGAAGCCTGAAAGGGAATGAAGGATGGTATCCTCATCATCTCATCATTTCTTGCTGTGAAAATGAACAAACTACAGAGGGGTGAATTTTTGACCCAGTGTTGAAAGAGAAAAGGCAAAATGCATGTGTTTATATAAGGCATACACAAAAGTGCAAACCTCAGCAACACAGAGATTAGGAATTTATAAACATGTAGAAATGTACAAAGAGAACCAAAGAACTATATGTCTCCAGAGGATCTGCCTAAGACTTGTAGGGAATGCCTGAAAGTCATAGTGCCAGCCCTACATGTGATATCTTTCCCATACATGCTTGAGATAAAGCTTAATTTATAATGTAGACACAGTAAGAGAATGCAACCAGTAGCTAAGACTAAATGGCTGACAGTGGCACTCGATAGTAAAACGTATGTTTAGCATTTATAAATCCCTGGATTCAATCACCTGCACAGGAAACAAACAAAACAAAACAAAAACTGATGCAATAGAGCAAACTGGGGAGGTCCATGTCTATGACTTAGTTAAGGTTAAAGAATTGCCAAGGGCTAGAGGCTAGCCTAAGCTCCATTATGAGCTCCAGGCCATCCTGAGATACAGGGGAGAAGAAAGAGGATGGAGACTATGATGAAATTGCTAGTTAAAGGACATTTGTGCTTTGGAGTCATTAAGAAAATAGTGATGATTTAAAGACAAGAACTGTGATACCACACAGCTTATCTGGCAACAGAGATGGCCAAGTGGCTGGCAAATAGAAGCTACACCATGTGGACACTCAGGACAAGAGATGATTCAGGTCTTGAGCAGGATGGCACAAGAGTTCATTACATTACTCAGAATAACATGCGATTTTAAATGGATAAATTACTTGTTTCTGGGATTTTTTTTTCTATTTAATATTTTTGGGTCAGAGTTGACTACAGATAACTGAAATTGTGGAAAACATAAACTCAAAGAAGGGAGAGTCTTGTAAAGACAATATTGAAGATCATGTTTATTTTACCTTTATGGAGAAGAAGGCAGCACGATGAGGGAGGGGCTCAAGGGCTTCAGAAGTATTTCACAATATCCTAGCTCTGCAAATGAGTGGTTAAGAGCTGAGGATGTATCAGTGAGTGAAGCCTTGCCTGCATGCCCAAGGGCTCCAACCAGAGCACCAGAGACATAAACGGTCCATTCGTGGGTGCTTACGTTACAATTCTTTATTTACACATATGTTTAAAATGTCAGCATGTGATGGTCACTTCCTTCAAGAAAAATCCATCAAGGCAAAGCCTGTTGGGACCAGAAAGTCCCTGGCCACAGGCAGGGGTTTTCTGCCACTTCCCAGCTGAGAAAAGGAAGAGGTCACTTCTTCTTCCCTCCCGTGAAGTTCAGAGGCACCCCACAACAAACATGCAGGCTCTGGAATCCCCCCCAACACAAGGCTCATGGGGCATCTTTTCTGGGAAGGCTAGAATGGAAATCTGAGAGATCCCCAGCCAACAACCAGCTGACCTGGACACCCCGGCATCTCAGCTCTGCCCTGGTCTCCACCTCCAATGAGCAGCTGCTGTGCCTTTGGCACTGTTGGAGAAAAGCGGGGGAAATGAAGCAACATCCACATTCTAAGGTCCTCAGACCAGTGGTTCCCTGGTTTTGGTTTTTACAAATAGCAATAATTTATTAAATATTCTTAAAGACTGAATACTGAAGTGGTCTTAATTTGTGACTTAACACTGGAAGCCAGCATCATACATGCCCACAACCTGGCATTTGGGAAGCAGATAAGGAGGATCTGAGTTCAAGATCAGCCCAGACCTCAAGCAGACCTTGTCTTAAAAGACATTAGAAGGCTGGGTGGTGGTCGTGGTGCATGCCTTTAATCCCAGCACCCAGGAGGCAGAGGAATGTGGATATCTATGAGTTTGAGGCCAGCCTGGTCTACAGAATGAATTCCAGGACAGCTAGGGCTACACAGAGAAACCTCATCTCAACACCCCCCCAAAAAAGACATTAGAAAACAATTACCACAAAGGCTATTTTAATACTAAAAGAACAACTTGGAAGCATGCATGCTTTGAAACTGAGGAGAGCCCTTTCCCCTTTTCTCCTTTAGCTATGTCCCCAAGCTTCTGTGGCACTGGTTCCTCAGCAGATCACAGCAGATGAGCTAGGGTCACAAACGGCCATCTTGGAGGACATCTTTGGGAGCATTGGTACCAATGTGTGACCAGTGACTACCGGCTCCCCATAGTGTGCCACCTACCCCCGGCTCACCCTTTCCTCTAAGCAGCCTTGGCATTCACACACTTCCCCTCAGGGCCTCCAAGTTGAAATGCCTGCCTGTCACCCAGGAGAGGCATACCTCTCCTGAACTCAAAGCAAAGGGCCAGGCTCACCCAACGTGTACTGGCCCCACCAGTGAAGGAAGCCACTTGCTGGCACTGGAGTCAGGTGGGGTCCTGAGATGGGCAGGCTCCTCAGAGCCCTAGCCTCTGCCTCAGACTGGGGAAAAACAATGCTCTCCTTCACTCAGTTTTCCAAGTGGAGTGCAGTCAGAGGACCTGTGTCCTAGTCCCTTGCAACCTTGAACGAATCACTTTCCTTCTGAATGCTTCAGCACTGATGGCAACACTCTGTGCCGATGCCATATGCTACAGGGACCTGTCCATCCTGTTCTGCCCAGGTCTCAGGAACTGGGGCCACAAGCCAGTTTGGAGATATATCCTAGGAGTAAAGAACCCGCTGCCCCATGGTACAATCCAGGCCCCACAGGCTGGCAAACATTTTGAGGAAAGAGAGGCCTGAGGGGGGCCAGAGAGGAAGCTGTTGTCTGCACTGGTCTGTCCCAGACTTCAGCAGCTTGGTCACCCACCTGGAACAAAACTGCCCCCATGGCTGCCCAGCCCAGAGCCATGTGGGGGGTGTGACTCACTCCGTGGGGGGCCATTGTGGCTAACGTTTAACTCGGCCCCTCCTTCAGAATGACACTTTAGCCCCACAGGCTCTGAGCACAGGTTTGCCGAGTTCACTAGTCACAGAGTGAGGTTCAGAAGCAACCCTGGCCTTGGGGCTCTGGGGCTAGTGGGCACAAGGTACCTCAGGAGAGAAAGGGAAGACACCAGCTGTCCTCCTGAGACCTCTGAGACAAGCAGGGCCTATCCTGCCCTGGTTGTTCCTAACCAGGAGGGAAGAATAGCCTGCCACCTCCAGCTGCAGACAGAGGCATGCCAACACAGCTGTTGCGGGTTTGTTCACAACAGACATCCCCAACAAGTCCTGGGCCTCCACCCTCAGCTGAGCCCAACTATTTGAAGAATACCTCACCTTTGCCCATGTGGGTCTGTCTGGCCTCTCATATAATGACTTCCCTCTTTGGTGGGAGTATGGGAACTCCCTAGGGTACAGGCAGGACCCTAAGGCAGATGGAACTGGGGTCCCCCAGGAAAATCTCAGCTGTGAATCTCTGGCCCTTATATCCTAGGGTCCTAAACCCTCCAGGGCGCCATTCCTCGAGCTCTACTTCCAAGCTCTTCTGAGAATGTGTGGCCACATCCTGCTAAAGCATTTGGCTTAGCACGCTTGTCATTGTCATACTGTAAATAGTGCCGTGGAAAGAGCCAACAGGAGTCTGGATGCGGACCAGTTTCCTCAGCTAAGTTCCACCCCCTCCTTGCTCTGTGACTGTGGAAAGTCATTAGAATTCAGTGCCTCAGCACTTCCCTAGAGCATGGGGATGGTGATAGCGCTGTCTCCCAGGGCAGGTGTGAAGGTTAACCGACCACAGTATCTAAAGCAGTACCCGGCACATGGTCACATGCTATGTGTAAGAGCTGCCAATCAAAGGGAGGCCTCAACGCTCCTGCTTATAGCCAGATCCAGTCATGTGGACTGTGGGCCTCCCTGCAGGATCAGGACTGTATAGATACCACGCCTCCAACCCTGAGGGCTGCAACAAAGAGCTCTTCACAGCGGCCTCCCTGTGCTGAAGTCCACCTTCTTGCCACGCAGGGGCTCTGGAGCAGGGGCTCTGGCACAAGGGCTCGGTCTCCCCAGATAAGTGTGAAATCTGTCTGAACACTGGTCCATCCTCAAGGAGATGGACTGAAGCATAAGAAAGGAGCTGGTGACCTTCTAGAGTTCTCTGCGGTGGTCCTCTGCCCTTTCCCAGAGGGCCATAGGCTTGGGTGCGTTGGGGCCCCCACCTCTCAGCAGCCCTCTGAATATCATGTTTGCTTTGAGTCAGGATAGAAGCTGGTTTCCCACCTCTATAGGGCAGGGTGGAGACCCCAATCTGTCAAAGGTTAATAGTCTACTGGCAGACTGTGATTTGCCTCAGGAACTTAAGGCCAGGTTCTATCAAAGGGCTGGGAAGAGACAAAACACTGAGACATGCTTTGGAGCCAGGCCAGCTAGGAGGAGCCCGTGAGGCAAGGAAGGGTGGGTTTCTTGGCTGCTCAGGCACCAAGCCTCACCCTATGCTCGGTGGCATGAACTAGACCTGTCAGGTTCCCCAGCACTGTGTGTGTGAGTGTGTGTCTACCCGGGTATCTGGGGGTGTCTATGACGACGGGCATGTGTGCAAGATAGGTGTGCTCTTTACACAGCCCTGACTCTATGCCTACTGATGTGCTTCTAGCAAAAGCCCCATGCTAGGTGCTGCCTTTCCTAAGGTACCCCAAGCTGCTGGTCCCCACTGCCACAGGCAGGTGGAGCGTGCCTGCCCCAACCTGTGCCCTAGGAGGTTTCAGCACTGCACTTTGTACCGGCCCTTGGCATTCGTGACAGATAATACATGGAGATCAGAGGGTAGAGAGGGTTATCTCCGGAGGCAGGTGAAAGGGACTGCTCAGATGGCTCAGCTTCTGCTGGGACTAGTCCTAGGGACCAATCACTTCCCTGCCCGCTTAGCTCGGGAACTGCCATTGACACCACCCTAGAAAGCCAAATTCCACTCTGGCCCTGGATTTTGCTCTCTGCTCCTTTAAGGAGCGGGAGGGAGAAAGGGGAGAAAGGACACAGGACTGCCCTCCCACTTCCTCACTACAACCCCCACCCCATCTCCCCGTTTAAGCCCCTCTCAGGTTTTAGGCCCGAACATTAATGAGATAGAAAAAGGAACTGGCCCAAAGATCAGCCTACAGCTGGACCACCTTGCAGAAAGAACAAGTTTCGAGGATGTTTGAGTGCCCAAGAATGCAAGGAGAGATTTGGATCCCTGACATGCTGTTGCCCTCTGGGAAAAAACAAAGGGTCCACGCAGATGACTCAGAAAATGGTCCTCCTTCTGCCTCCTGTGTCTCCAGTAGGAGAGGAAGTAATTTGGAGGCACTTTGCAAGGACTTAGGACCTTTGCAAGGACTTAGAACCTAAGCAGCCAGCAATAAAAATGAGGGATGAAGCCTCCCCCCTGGTGGTCAGACTTGGAACTGCAGTTTGTCCCTCCTGAAAGACCAGAATGCAAACAAACTCAGGCCCTTGGTCCCTGCAGACCAGAGCAGAGGTTGAAAGCACCTTGACTTCTTGGCCCACAACAGTTAGGTACATGTGAAGGCCCCACAAGGTCTGCGTTTGTGGAGGCCAGGGAAGTCAGGCGGGATATGCTACTGAGAGGGACACCCCTCTGACAGCCAGTGTCTACAGTAGGACTCAGCTGTCCTCAGAGATCCCAGCTTTGGTTAGCCAAGAACACTAGATGGTGAGAGTGTGTGATGTCACTGTGACTTGGAAGGAGGAATCCTTAGGGGCACATTAGTAAGCAGCCACCAAAGCGTTAGCCTTCCATTCTGATCCTAAACTCTCACTGGAGGCTGAAGCCTCCAAATCCCTTTTCACAGACCCCAAACACTAACAACGGGGCTATAAAAACACCCGGAACCTGGATTTCTTTTTTTTTTAATGGAGAGCCTGTGGACACTGCGGGAAGCAACAGAAATGGAGAGAAGCAATATGGAGCTGCTGGGAAGGCGTTCTCTCTGCTTCCCTCCTCAGCCTAGGGCCCCTTGGAGTAGCTGGATAATCCCAGCATGCCCCGTTGAGTACTATAAGCCCATGCTGCTGGAACAAGGTCTCAGACACTCGCATCTCTCTTCTTCTTTGAGGACCATTTCATCCTGGCTCCAGAGGTGGGCATATAGGCTGGAGGGAGGGCATAGCAGGGATGCTCCAGGCATGGGCTGAAAGACAGGTGGGTGGGGCTGGGAGGAGACCAAAGCACGACCCCAGAGTGCCACACAGCAAGCCAACCTGTGAGGACAAAGTGGAGATGCTGTCAGATGGATCCCAGGGAGGTGCACTTGGGAGGTCCCTGGTTGACATGTAGCACAACAGTCCTGTTGGGCCCTGGGCTTCTCCCCATGGGACTCCTCATTGCTCTAGCTCCCTCCCTCTCTACACATTCCCCGATAGCCTGTCCTACTGTGTTCCAGGGAGAGTTCCCTCCCACAGCTGACCTTTGCACCCTCAACCCTTCCCCTTCCTGGTGAAGCCTCACCTATTAGCAGCTAAGATCTGCTCTGTGCTGCCTGCATAGCTGCCTGGTACACCTCCTCCCAGAGGGCCCAGAGCAGAGCTTTTATAGCCCAATTCCACTGCTCTCCCAGCTCCCACAGCTATTTCTCTGGAGGGTGGGAGTGTTTAACTTCTCTGAACTGCTGATTCCCTGGGAGCGTGGCTGGGCTTGCATGAGGGTATACAAGTAAAGGATGTCACCATGTGGCATGTAACAGGCCTGAGGTTCTTGGAGGGACCTTGGGGATCATCTAACCTTGTATTCTGAGCCTCTTGCCTGCCTCGGGATCTCCTAGAGTCCCCAGCCCCAACAGTTTCCAGTTCAGTCATTTGCAACCAGGAACATGTGGCTGCTACCAGTCCAGGACAACCGGCCTCATACAAGCCCACTCGCGTTTCATGGATGGGAGGACGGAAACCACCTGACACAGACATGCTGTGCCCAGTGTCTGAAGGTCCTGGAGTACCCTGAGCCCAGGAGAGCTGGGCTCCTTGGGAAAGCCTCCCCTCCCTTACTTCTTCTGAGTGCCCGGGGCAGAAGAGCTCTCGAGGCACCTCTATTGGGAGGTTGGGGACTTGGCTGCATCAAACATCTTCTTGCGGCCTTCCATGCCAGACATGGCTTCCACATTCTTCCTCCAGTCTCCCACCTCCACTGGCCGCTCCTGGGCAATGGGAAAAACATATCAGAAACGCACCAAGCTGGACAGGCAACAAGGGCCCCTGAAGTCAAGAGAAGGCAGACGGAAGAAAATCCACCCCCTTAGAGAGACAGGAAATCCTGACGCCCCTGCCCGGCATGGGATGCAAGATGATTTAGCCAGACAGGGGCACAGAATGAGGCTGTGTGTATGGGAGGTTCCAGGTGGCTGTGAAGGCTCTCAGAGCTGGTTCCCAGAATAAGGCCAGCCTCACCTCCAAGCCCCACAACCCCCTCCTGTGTGACATATTGCAGCTCAGGGTCACCTCCTCCAAGAAGCCTCTCCTGATTCATTGGACCTGTTTTCCATTTTGTTGGCATCATAGCTGGTCTGTTTATCTTTGTTAAGCTTCCTGGTCCAGAGATTGCTCCCTTACCCTTGCTCCTCATAGCCTGTCAGCTCTGGCCATGTACTGTAAGGCCAATAAAGTTGAAGTAATTATTTGCGAAACAAGCAATTGAATTCAGTTCTCCCATTTCTATACGCTCATATCCCTATAGGCACAATGAGAAACCGTGATGACAAGATCAGTGGTCACCCCTTAATTGACACAGGGAGCACTTTTTTTTTTTTTTTTTTTACTTTATTCTCCAGTCAGCCTTTCTCATGTCCAATCTTCCCCTCAGATTGGAAGCAGCCAGTCTCCTTTCCTTTGACACTGCCTCCTAGGGGGTTCTATTCTGACTTGCTGACTGACTAAAGCACCCCAGGTTGCCGATGGCTGTGTGAGAAGTGGGGGGTAGAGGCAGCAGGCAGGAGGTGGAAGGGTCTGAGGAGCGTGGCCCTCACCTTTTCTGTGTCTTCTTTCTTCACAGACTTGAGGTTGGCCCGTAAGTCCATGGACACCTTGTGCTTGGAGCCCAGTAGAGCTCGGAGCATGGCGTCGGCTGAGACACGAACCCTGCGCAGGGGTGGACGCTTGAACTTCCCTCGGAGGTCCAGCACCTTGAGCTTCAGGTCCTTAATCTGCAGGAGGAAAGGAGCCAGGCTCAATGGAGGGGATGCTACACCTGGAGCTCTCTTCCTGGGGGATCCACCTGCTAGGCTTCCAGCTAGAGCCATCATCCCCGGGTCCCCAGCCTCCAGGATGGACTCTCTGAGGCGCTCAGAAGCACCTCTCCTTTTTCAAACAACCATTACACGTGGTAAAGGAACTTTTAAGCCCACTAGTTAACCTCACCCCCTCCCCATCAGCAAGCCTCAAATAAATGAAAAGCCACTAAACCATCACTCTCGTTTGGAAACCTTGTGCGGAGTGTGAACCACTCTCTCTGTTACTCCATCTTTGTTCTCACTAGTTAGCTCTGCCCAGAGGGCCTGTACCCGCAGCTGAGCCTTGATTGACCCAGCACGTAGAGAAACCCTAAGACCAACACCCTGGCAATCCCAGGGCGTGGTCTACGGAGGGAGTTCTCTGGGGCTTAATGGCATCGCACAGCAGCATCCCGCCAAGCAGAAGTTGATAGGGAAGCGGCCCGCTCGCCTTGGGCGAATGCTCAGAAGCCCATCGGCTCTGGAAGTCCCGCCTTTCCCCATTAGTCTCTACCGGCTGGTCCTAATGCTCCCACACCCCGTCCTGCAGGAGCACTGAGCATGGGAGTGGGAACCAGAGCGCAGCAGCATAGTAGGACCCCCATTTTGTGACCTGAGCCAAGCAAGTTCTGAGGCTCTGTGGGTCTTGGTGTCCTCATTTGTCAGGGTCAGGGTAATAGCCCCCATGTCACCCACAGGCATGTAGGGAGGATCAAAGGATACCACGCACATGAAAGGCCTTCACAAAGGAAAGATGTCATTAACAGACATCTGATTACTTGTGTGGGTGAGTGAAGACGGCAGCTTCTGACGCGCTCACGTGGTAGGTGGGGAGGAAGTTTGTTCTTTTCATGTGTCACTACCCTTACTGCCCATCGCCAAGCCTATGGTGCCAAGGTGGAAAACTAAAACCTCACGCTGAGAGGCTGCCCTCCCAGGCCGCACAGGAACAGGTGGGCCACACCAATGCTCACCCCAGCCAGCCCAGGCCCAGCCTCATTCCCACCCTCTCGGGGGCTTACCTCCCTCGTGTTGTGGAGGCATTTGGCTTCAATATCATATCGTTCCTCATCCACCACCTCCACCTTGGCATGGAGCTCTCGGCACAAGTCCTGAGGGAGTAGACTGACAGCGTGAGAGTGGAGAAGAGGGGAAGGCCTCTTCTCCAGCCTCCCTTTTCCTGCTGCACATGTAGCATGCTTGGCCCTATGGCTCGTGGCTTTGCCAGAACTGTCGCACAGGAGCAGCTAGAGACTCACCATCAGAGAGTTACAACTCAAAGCTTAAGCACCACGTTCTCCTTTCTGCTCCCGTTTTCTTTTTCTAGCTTTCCGTAAATGTTAGCAGAATTGTTTACTTACTTATTTTAGATAATGTCACTATGTAGCTCAGGCTGGCCTAAAAAGCCCTGTCATTGGGGTGCCTAGTTACCAATCTATAGTCCTCCCACATATGAACTCATAGAAGCAGGACACACAAGACCCACACAGGATCAAACCAGACAAAATCCCAGCACAGTGAAGGGGAAGTGGACACAAAGCCCCACCACTAACAAAGCTATTTGCAGTCCTGCTGGGACAGGAGAAATCAGTTTTGGCCAGTGGAGTGTCACTGGGTGTATCAAACTCCATTCCCAGGAGCTGACGGCCAACACAAAATGGACAAGACATCTCCATGTTTCTTTTGTTCTGGGTTCCCCTCCCCCTTCTTGATGGGGTCTCCCTACATAGCTCTGCCCTGACTCACTATGTAAACCAGGCTAGCTTCAAACTCCCAGAGAACTGCCTCCTGAGTGCTGGGATAAAAGGGAGCATCACCACACCTGACCTGATTTTCTTTTTTTGTTTCTTTGTTTTTAATTTTCTTTTTTTGTTTTTGTTGGGTTCTGTTGTTTTTCTTTGTATACAGAGACAAAGAACATAAAGTTGGGTGGGCAGGGGAAATATGATCAAAACATATTGTATAAAATGTCTTAATAAGATAATGTTTTTAATTCACAATCCTTCAGCCTCTACCTCCTGAGACTAAGATTATAAGCACATACCTCTACACCAGGCTCATCATTATTTTCTTTAAAAATATTTTTCTTACCACAAAAGCAGTAAGTGTAAGTTAATAGTAGAATTTTTAAAGCTATACATTAAACAAAAAAAAACAAAATTAAAGTAGCCACTGTCATGGGAGACACGTGGACACAGTTTCACCTAGTCTTCTCTCGGCAGTCACTGGCATTGAAGCAGCAGTTTTAAAACAGTAAAGACTTCGTCTCTAAAAGGAGGGTCAAATCTTCGGAGAAATGGGTCTTCCAAATCCTGCCCACCTCCAAGGCCATACCTTTGCGGCAACCAGCCAGACCCTGGTTCTGCCCAACTAAGTCCATTCACCCCTCTGGAGCTCCCTCTCTCAAGCCTGTAAAATGTCACTTCGAGTGCAGTCATGGGGCTGGTGGGGCTTCTTGTGAGTTACAGAGCTGTGCTACTTCAAGATCCACAGAGGGTCCTTTGCATGGAGGGCCCAGCCCAGCCTGCCAGGCTTACCTGAAGGGCGCTGAGGGACAGGCCACGGGTCTGCAGTGTGGGGATGCGCTCTGCTAGGTAGCGTGCCTTCTCGGCCTCTCGCTCCTCGTGTTCCTGCTCCCAACACTCCTTAGCCTTGGCTAGCATCAAGCTCTGAAAAGGACAGAGCCACTGAGTCAGGGTTGGTTCCTCATATTCCATATGCAGCATCATAGAGGGAGGGGACAAAGGCTCCCGCCTAAGCCGGGTCTGAAGCCATTGCTTAGTGTAGCGGTGTGTATGCAGTAGCCGCCCACAGGCCTGTTTAAGTCACACACAGGCCTGTGTAAGTCACATGGCATTCCTGCGCCCCAGAGCTTGTTAACCCACACAACACTCCCTCTTCCCTCCCTTGTGTCCATAGAGCTCCAGAAAGTGAAACATACCAAAAAGAACAACATCCCTTCCTCTCCTCCACCAAGGAGGCCACCCAGGCTAGTTTCTGCTGCCTCCCAGGCACCCAGGACAGATGGGATACAAGCCACTGGTCACCTATCAGCTCTCACAATGGTCAGGCTTCTTCCTTTAACCTTGGTTAGTCTCCCTTCCCCTCCCTGCCCCCTGCACCCCACGGAGTCCACCCCACTGCCCCTCATCTCCCATGGGACCAGCTTCACCTTGAGCATGAGTTTGCGGGAGGCAGTGATCTTGGATTTCCTCTGAGGATGAGAAGGAAAGACCAATGGTTAGGCAGAGGCTATAAAACTGGAATTCTGTTCCAGAGCAGCACACAGTACCAGCTGTGGTTCTTCATCACTACCCAGAATCCTCTGTTCACTTTCAAGTTTTTAAAGTTCATCTTTGGGACTGACCAGTCGAGTTCAGAGAACACTGTAGTCAGCTACCTTGACAGACAGGCTGAAGCCCTGCCTTTCAGTTCCACTCTGCTGCTGGTAGGAGCCTGCAGGAGTCTGCAGGTGCGCCTCCTGCGCGTACCTCCTCTGCGGAGGAGCGTGCTGATAGCTGGACTTAGTTTCCAAGCCATCAAGGCCGAATGAGGGCACACATCTGCAACCCTTGTGAAAAGCCTAGAGCAGACAGATGTTTTAGCACTCCAGGTGGTGATGCAGCCGTATTCTGATGGCTTTCTCCTGCCACACACATATGCTGCATGCTTCCCAAATGACGAAGGTATGTCTCTGTGGACATCCGAACGAGTTCCCTTCACCCCATATAAATATCTAAAATGCAAAAGCACTGCTATGTCTTCTATCCAAAACAAGCAGGGAAATTCCTGATGGCCAAATAGATATGCTGTAATAACTCTCAGTGAGTATCCTCCAAGGCCAGCCATGGAGGACCGTATGTGCAACCTCAGCACTCTGAGGGCTGACGGGAGGCTCCCATGTTGAGACTTGTCATGGAAGGACATACACTATCTAAAGGAATTTTTAAAGTCCCAGTCCTATGACAGTGTCCCCAGCAAGGTGACAGAGATACCTCACTGCTGACTAACGGGACTCTGGGCTTGAGAGCCCTTGTGTTCCTCCTGGGTTTCTCCTTGGTGCTCCCATTTTTGCAGCCTGCCTGTTTCAGGTGGGATCCACCCCAGGAGAGTCTGACTGTAGTCTGTTCCTGCCGTAGGTCAGGTTGATATGACGAGGCTTTGTGGGAGTGACTGGGAGAGTCAATGAATGAGCTTTATCGCACTGAGCACAGGACTTCTGATCCACTCACAGTGGTTTATCTTTTCATCTTTGAAAGCCTAAACTCCAGGTAATGAGAGAAATGGCCAGTTGCTGTGGGCATTGCGGCCCTGGTTCACCCACTGAGATCTACCCTGCGGAATGACCTTTTGCAGTCTTGTTTCCCCACCACTCACTGAGTGCATGGCCTCTTCATCTAAACAGCAGTCCCTGGGGATTCATACTAACAGGAGCCTCAACAAAACACAAGGATCCATATGGTCACGGGAAAATCATATTTGCTTCTCTCTCAGACTATCCAGGCCAAGTATCTCCTCTGTCAGTGATGCCGTCTCTATGTTTGAGTCAGCACACTGCCTTTTCCTTCAGTCCTCACTCCTGGGCTTGCACGCCGTGTTCTCTGCAGCCTGAAGAAATCTGGATTACAGAGTGTCCAGAATCAGGGTGACCACAGACCTAAGGGGACCCCAAGGACCCCATCACTCCTTCCTCACTGTTCAGTGATAGCCCCAACCTTTCAGATAAAGCTTTGCACATCAGATTTTCAAGAGGCAGAATGAAGCCCCAGGGATGTAGGCACTTTGAGGGAGGCCGAGAGAGAACATTCAGTCAGCAGAGGTTCTGAGGCAGGTCCAGATCTGCAGTCCCAGTCCACGTGAGTACCCTGGAGGGGCACCATGCCCTGGAGCACTGACGCCCTGCGTGCTGGGATCCCTGCATCATATAGCATCTCCACTGGATGTTTCTCTTCTGGTAGTTTTTTCAGCCACTGGCGTCCCCATCCCTACCTTGGCTTTAACCCAGTCTCTGTCTTCTCCTCAGGTCCACCCCACCTTCATCAGTCTGAAGAAGTAAACTAGCAGGGAGAAACCCCAAATATCACTCACCTCACTTTAGACAGCATCATGGGAAGGACCAGAAGAAAAAAACAGAACATGGAGTGAGTGGGAGCAAAACACAAGACAGAATGAAGCAACAGAACGAAGCAGACTTGCTTGGAGCGAAGGGGACAGGTAACCACCACATGTCCGAACGACAGAGACCAGCGGATGGGGGCCTCTTCAGTGTTTCAGCGAACAAGAATAAAAACCCAACCACTGGGGCTACTACTCATTCCTTTTGGAGGATGTTGGTCATTCAAAGTTGTAGGGAATCTCGTGGGGGGCTGTGTAAGCTTTGGCGGGGGCCACACTTAATGCAGAAGCTTTCATCCCAGGCATGCATTCTCAAAGCTTCATTCATCCGCCATGTCCGTGTGATGTCAGAGCCTAGTGTGTCCAGTTAATCGGTCAGTACTAATGAGCTAACTCTGATGCATCAGCCAAACACGTCCTTTAAACACATTCCCACCAGGGAAAGAGCCCTGCTCAGCTGAGAGAGCTTAGGGAAACAATGAGTGCTGGCCAGACCCTAAGGTTCATCCCTGTCTCAGGAGCTGGGAGTAGCTCAGGGAGGGGTGAACCAGACTGTTTTCAACTGTGATGCCGAAGTCTGTGGTAAGGGGACTTGCCACCCAGGATCCCTGGATGGGATAAAACAACTTACACTTCCGGCATGGCGGTAACAAGGCAGCGCCTAGAGGGTACAGAGAAATTGTTAATGGAGGAGCCGTACCTCCTGCTATGAACCCCAGTAGGTGCAGGGAGTCACACAGCAGGAAGGAGTCAGCACAGTAGATTCCACTTACACAACAATGAACCAGAATACACGGACAAACCCCTCCTATGACCTGGAAAGCCTGAAACATTTACAAGTGACTGTTTCCAGAGAAACCTTGCTGACTCTGGCATAGAACAGAATGGAACCTGTGGCTGGAAAGTGAGGATGGGGCTGGGTCAGGAGAGCCGTGAGCACACAACTGAATTCAGACTGTACCTGGGGGTTAGGACTCAGCGAAGGTGCAGGAGGAGCAGAGTAGAGCGGAGGCTGATGTGCAGCTGGGTGCCTTGTGACTCAACTCTGCCATTCAATAAGTGCCTAGCAGCCCTGGGTAGGTGGCAGGAAGCCCTGAGTAAAAGTTAAGCCAAGAAAAAAGAAAAAGAAAAAAAAAATCCAGTGTGTCTTCACTCTTTCCTGACTGGCTTTTCTCTAAAAAATGGGGCTTAGATAAGTAGTGTGCTTAGTTTGTTTATTTGGTTTTTGAGACAGGGTTTCTCTGTGTAGCTCTGACTGTCTTGGAACTCACTCTGTAGACCAGGCTGGCCTCGAACACAGAGATCCACCTACTTCTGCCTCCCAAGTGCTGGGATTAAAGGCGTGTGCCATCACCACACGGCTAGTAATGTACTTATTAATATTTAGCCCTTGAACCTTTTATTTAAACCAGATTTTACTTGGAAGCAAAGCAAGCTCATTCAGCCAGGCATAATGGCTCTGGCTGAAGGAGTTGGCACAGGAGTCCGGCATCCTGTGAGAATTCACGGCTGTGGAGCAGTGAGGAACCCCTGAAAGGCCATCTCTGGACAGGTCAATGTGGGGTCCTGAAGGCTGAAGAGGCTTCAGGCCTGATCCACCCTCTTGTCTGGGCCCTAACAGAGTGGGTAGGCAGGGAATAGAGGAAATGGGCTGTGCTCAGGAAAGCAGGAGCAGCCAGGCTGGGGACAGATGTGGATCAGGAGACCTGAGAAGGGTGATAAGGTGAAGAGTGGGTGAACGGTGTTGTGAGAGGGGGCAGGCATGGAGTGCAGAGTCTGTGTTTAAATCTGGAGCCCTACAAGAGACTTGCAAGGCGGCCACCAATAATGTCGTTCTGTAGCCACCATTCTGTGCCCATGAAGAAGCCACCGCCCCCCCTCCCCCGCCCAGGGACCAGGCTCTCCTCTCAGATCCCAGCCTGTGAGGGAGCCTTTCACCTAAGCCTCTGCTTATGTGCAGAGTGGGGCTAGGTGGGAGGTGACCCTGGAGGCTCAGCTGTCCCCAGGGGTGGGGGTACAGGGGAAGAGGTGTGGGGACCATCCATACATTCTCAACATTCTTAGCTGAAATTAGGTTTTCTACACAGCTGCTGATTCCAAGGGCTCTGCTCTTCTGAAGACACGAGGGAAGTCCAAAAAGAAACACTAGCTGACAAAGATCCACCCCGCCCACGTCTGTCTGGCCTCTGGGAATGCAAGTCTCAGCTGAGTAGGTCTTGCATCTGTCTCCCTAGAATGTGCTTCACCCTAGTGGGCATTTAGCCGTGGCTGTTCTTCCTCCATCCTTTAGAGAGCCCACTGTCACAGCGTGGGGCCCACTCCTGGAGCCAGCCTGGGCCTCCTGCCAAGCTCCAGGCAGTCCCTTACTGCCTCGCTGACAAATGCCAGGTCCAGGGGTCCCACGTCAAGCATGAGGCCCTGACCTGTGCTCTGACACCCACCAGGCACGACCCTTGACAAGCTGTATGGAAGACAAGAGGGACCTGATTAGAAGCCAGGATGTAGATAACAGTGAGGCTGCAGGGACAAATTCCATCTGTACCACAAGTGGAAGGCGAGGAGATAACAGAAAACAGAGAGCTGGAGGGAAGGGAGCGGACTCTGGGGCCTGACTCCAGGCTCACCTTCCTGGCCCTGAGGCCCTTGGTGTGGAAGAACTGTCAGCTTTCCCTGCCAAGCCTACATGTGTAAGTGTGAGTGTGAAAATCCTGCGTGGGACACAGCATAGACAAAGGAACTGACATTCTTGATAGGAATGCAAACATCTAGACTCATGCTCTATCCTTGCTCCCCACCTCTGACCTTGGATCTTCTTTCAAGGGCATCCCTATCCTACTGAACAGGCATTTAACAAGCTGGACTCCCAAGCCTGTGGTCAGGGAGTCCAGTGTTAGAACTGTCTATGACCTGGGGTAGGGGCTGCCTTTAGCCCGACCCTCCTCCCAACATCACACTATGAATATCATCCCAGTTTGTGTCCTCGCAGCTCCCACCCCAAAAGCTGTTGCCATCAGCCTCCCCCATGAGAGGATCCCAACGACTCCTCTACAACTCAGAGCCGGAAGCAGTAGAAAGAATTGGGAGTCTATCTTTACCTGTTTGTGTCCTGTGCAGATGAGACAGGCTAAAAGAGCCAAAAGCGCCTGTCAGGGACAAAGGACAAAGAAACAAGATGGTCTCTTTGGTCAGCAGAGCCTCTGGACCTGTCTCCTGCATGCCAGCCGTCTTCTTGTTCTGCCACTGCAGGCATTGATGACTGGATGACTGTCACTCCCCAGGCTCTTCCTCAATGCAGACCCTCAGCCTTGGTTCTTGGATGCCCAGTGCCACCCCTCCCGGCAGGAGCCCTGTCCTTCCTGCCACTGGCAGCAGTCCCTCATGAAAGCATAATCCGTTAGGCTCTGCTTTGGGCTCCTGAGGAGCATGTTGGACAGTTCTTTCCCTCCAAGTTTCACCTCCCGTAGCATCTAGTGGGACAGATGCCATTTTATGGGACAAAAGGCTAGGAGTATTAGAGAGTATTCTGCCGACAAACCTGTTTATCCAAACAAGAAACATCTTCCACTTTCCAAACTTCTTTTCCCCTTTAACTAAAACCTCAGCTCTGTACTCAGCTGGCCCAGATCAATGGTCAGGGTTGTAGACACTTACCTAGTTCAGTCCTCGTGGAGCCAAGCTGGCCTGAGTCTCACCACAGACTACAGACTGTGAGGGCAGTGCTGAAGGCAGGCTATGAAAACTGTGGCCTCCGGCAACTGGCCAGTAAAAATAGAACAGCCACTGCCCCTCCAGCTGCCCCTCCTTTCCACCCCCTCCCACCATACACACCTCACAGGGCAGATACGTGCTGCAGTGTATACCACAGGCACACAGGCTTAGAGAGTGCATCAGGACACATACAGACCTTCACACACTGAGCCTCTGATGGGAGGACCAGCACTCACCTGGGGGAAGGCAGAGAGTGAAAGACTAGACCAGAGGTGGAGCTGGCCAGAGATGAGAACAAGAAGTGGGATGGAGGAGATCAGGGCATCTGGAGGCCTGAGGAGCCAGTAAGGAGTAGGGCGGGGACCAGCAGGCTGGTGGTCCCTCTTCTGCCAGGACATGCACACATGCAACCCCAGGCCATGCTCCAAAAAACCTCAAAAAGCCAAAGACCTGAGTGTGTGTGACCCTGGTGCCAGTGAGAAAGGAGGGTACTGCAGGGTTCTGGTGGGTCCAGAGCATGTTTCTGGGGCCCAGCTGAGAACAGTGTCAGCAGGGCCACCTTTATGCTCAGGGAAGCCTGAGGATCTGAGGCATTCATACACTTCTTTAGGTGTGCTTTAAGGAATCTCTATTGCTCAGATTCCAAATAGCACCCCACATTCCATTTCTTGAACGAAGGGAGACTACGAGTCTTCCCCACTTAATCTTCATGTCAACCAGAGGCTGACTGACTGCAGGGCCGCACCTGTTTACTGGGTATTTTTAGGACTGTTGATGAACACATAATACCCACCCTATAGTCAGAGAAAGACAATGCCTGCTATGTTAATCCTGTGGCTATTATAGTCGGTCATCTTGTGGGCCAAGATCCCAGGCTAGGCAGGACAGGCTAGGCAGAGCACTGACCCTCTGGGAGGCCAGAAGCAGGCTCACAGAGGGAGGAAAAGTGGGCAGTGGTGAGCTATGGAGGAGCATTTCCAGAGCCCACAAAGAAGAAATAACTTGCCCTGGGGTCACTAATACTCTGCTGCCTGGCAGAGATGGTTCCAAGCGTGTTCTTCACAGGTCACGTTCAAGAAGCTTCTTGCTGGTGGCTACCAAGGAGAAAGAACAGAGTCTGAGAAGCTATGGGGCTAGGACATAGGATTCCAAGTAGAGAAGCTGGAGTATAAAATAGACAGACATAAATCACATGGGGCAGCGCAGAGGAGAAATCTAGGCACTTTGGGGAAGGGTCCACTGGGGCTTATTACCTTATTACCTTAGCTTTTTGTTGATCTCTTTCTCTCTCTTTTTTTTAAAAGGATTTATTTACTTATTATGTATACAGTGCCTGCAACCCAGAAAAGGGCATCAGATCTCATTATAGATGGTTGTGAGCCACTATGTGGTTGCTGGGAATTGAACTCAGGACCGCAGAAAGTGCAGACAGTGCTCCTAACCTCTGAGCCATCTCTCCAGACTCTCTTTCTTTCTTTTTTTTTTTTTTTAACATTTGGGGTGTGTGTGTGTGTGTGTGTGTGTGTGTGTGTGTGTGTGTTGCATAGATAAGTGTGTATACATAGGTGTATTGCTAAATGTGGCATTTAGAAGTCAACCTGGGGTACTATTCCTTTGGAAATATCTGCTGTATTTTTTTGAGACAGAGTCAACCATTGGGACCTTAGGGTCATTGATTTAGCTGGGCTCTCTGGCCAGAGACCAGAGACCAGGCTGTCTCTGTCTCCCCAGTTCTGGGATGATATGCCCAGCTTCTACTGTGGGTGCCAAGGATCAAACCCAGTGTGCAGCAAATAATTTAACAATGGAACCATCTCTCCAGTGCCTACAAGACCAAAAATGAGTTGTCTGAATGAATTGTCTTGCTTTTTGAAAAGGGAAATAAAGATAATATGGCAAAGCACAAAAAGAAGGACCAAACCAAACCAAAAATT